TGCGGCACACATTTTCAGTAAATGATGTGATTTTCATGGTGTCCGGTAAATTACTTTTTAAACGGTTCGTGTTTCAAGTATGCCATGTAAAAATTACTTTTTTGCTCCGATGTTTAAAAAATGTGAGTGAACGGGTCACTTTCACCCCGCGGCACCGCGGCCTAGAGCCATGCCCATGACTTCTACTGGCAGCTAGTCTCATTGATGGTTCGGGTCTCAAGATGCCACATTCCCTCAGGCAACCACGATGGCTCTGTGCCAGCGGCATCGGAAGAAGTTTCCAGTTTTCTAACCATCTTGTGGCTCAAATGCTTTCCTGGCTGACATTCCTGGGAGAAGGTAGCTTTTCAACCAGTTTTTTTTTTGTCATCTGTTGGCAATGATGTTTTTCATAAGCTTTTCTGTGGTCTTCTGTCACAGTTACCAGTCTGCTTTAGTTTGTTTTCCTTATCCGGTCGATTTACTGTTTGATCTACTGAAAGGAGGGTAATCAGCAGTAATCCATGCACCGTGCCACTCCTGCTCGAAACATGATTTGGTGTTGAAACGAATGGCATCCATGAGCACCATTTTGGCTCAGTATTTGAATATTTGGCACATAAGTGAGACAAAAATATTTAAAATAAGAACATACGTGTTAGTTTCATTCACGTGCTCTATTTTTTATTCTTTTTTATAACATGGAACGTCTAACCCAATCATCACTACCGTTTGACATCGGCAAAAAAAGCAAAAACGTCTTGTTTAATTCATCTCACGATTCCCAGCTTGAAAATGATGGTATAGTGTTATGATTTGGCATACCAATGCGCAAAGAAATGACGCAAACTTGATGAAAATTTAGGCTCGTTATTTGTACTCGAATTTGATATATAGGCCTCCAAAGTTTGGAAAGTTTTTTTCTGGGCCACCCGGTATATGCGATAAGTATATACATACATATTTGCGGGGCCGCGGTCGCACTCGTCTGTTGCTGCCGCCGCCGCCGCGGGGCCGCGACAGCGCTCGTCTCACGCTGCCGCTGCCACTGGGCCGCGGCCGCGCTCGTCTTCTGTCGCTGCCGCTGCCACTGGGCCGCGGCCGCGCTCGTCTTCTGTCGCTGCCGCTGCCACTGGGCCGCGGCCGCGTTCGTCTTCTGTCGCTGCCACGTTTGTCTGTGCTGCTGCTCCGAGCCGCGGCCGCGCTCGTCTGCGCCGCTGCTCTGAGCCGTTGCTGCGCCCGTCTGCGCTGCTGTGCTCGTCGCGCTGCTGCTCTGAGCCGCTGTGGCACTCGTCTGTGCTGCTGCTCCGAGCCGCTGCTGCGCTCGTCTGCGCTGCTGCTCCGAGCCGTTGCCGCGCTCGTCTGCGCCGCTGCTTTGAGCCGTTGCCGCGCTCGTCTGCGCCGCTGCTCTGAGCCGCTGTTGCGCTCGTCTGTTGCTGCCGCTGCCGCTGCGGGGCCGCGGTCGCACTCGTCTGTTGCTGCCGCCGCCGCCGCGGGGCCGCGACAGCGCTCGTCTCACGCTGCCGCTGCCACTGGGCCGCGGCCGCGCTCGTCTTCTGTCGCTGCCGCTGCCACTGGGCCGCGGCCGCGCTCGTCTTCTGTCGCTGCCGCTGCCACTGGGCCGCGGCCGCGTTCGTCTTCTGTCGCTGCCACGTTTGTCTGTGCTGCTGCTCCGAGCCGCGGCCGCGCTCGTCTGTGCTGCTGCTCCGAGCCGCTGCTGCGCTCGTCTGCGCTGCTGCTCCGAGCCGTTGCCGCGCTCGTCTGCGCCGCTGCTTTGAGCCGTTGCCGCGCTCGTCTGCGCCGCTGCTCTGAGCCGCTGTTGCGCTCGTCTGTTGCTGCCGCTGCCGCTGCGGGGCCGCGGTCGCACTCGTCTGTTGCTGCCGCCGCCGCCGCGGGGCCGCGACAGCGCTCGTCTCACGCTGCCGCTGCCACTGGGCCGCGGCCGCGCTCGTCTTCTGTCGCTGCCGCTGCCACTGGGCCGCGGCCGCGCTCGTCTTCTGTCGCTGCCGCTGCCACTGGGCCGCGGCCGCGTTCGTCTTCTGTCGCTGCCACGTTTGTCTGTGCTGCTGCTCCGAGCCGCGGCCGCGCTCGTCTGCGCCGCTGCTCTGAGCCGTTGCTGCGCCCGTCTGCGCTGCTGTGCTCGTCGCGCTGCTGCTCTGAGCCGCTGTGGCACTCGTCTGTGCTGCTGCTCCGAGCCGCTGCTGCGCTCGTCTGCGCTGCTGCTCCGAGCCGTTGCCGCGCTCGTCTGCGCCGCTGCTTTGAGCCGTTGCCGCGCTCGTCTGCGCCGCTGCTCTGAGCCGCTGTTGCGCTCGTCTGTTGCTGCCGCTGCCGCTGCGGGGCCGCGGTCGCACTCGTCTGTTGCTGCCGCCGCCGCCGCGGGGCCGCGACAGCGCTCGTCTCACGCTGCCGCTGCCACTGGGCCGCGGCCGCGCTCGTCTTCTGTCGCTGCCGCTGCCACTGGGCCGCGGCCGCGCTCGTCTTCTGTCGCTGCCGCTGCCACTGGGCCGCGGCCGCGTTCGTCTTCTGTCGCTGCCGCTGCCACTGGGCCGCGGCCGCGCTCGTCTTCTGCCGCTGCCGCTGCCACTGGGCCGCGGCCGCGCTCGTCTTCTGTCGCTGCCGCTGCCACTGGGCCGCGGCCGCGCTCGTCTTCTGCCGCTGCCGCTGCCACTGGGCCGCGGCCGCGCTATTCTGCGGTGCTGTCGTCCTAGACTGAGGCGTAAGGTCCTCTATCTTCTCATGGTAGGTGTGGGCCGGTTGGTACTGTGATTTGTTATGAAACCGGAGCAATCAGATATTTCTGAGTTGAAGTCACCTGTAGGTAGCGCGATGAACCCGCAATTTGCATCAATCAGTTTGCCCTCATTTGATGGACTAAGTAGTGTGTAGCGATTCCTCGACGACTTTGACCGTTTTAGCCGTCTTCAAGGGTGGGATGATGCCAAAAAACTGGATGTTTTCCCGCTATGTCTTAGGGGCATCGCACGGGACGCGTTTGATTCCCTGAGGGACGACCAGAGGGCCACTTTTGCTGAGGTCACTGCTGGTCTACGGGCCAGCTTTTCGAGTCGTAGCTCTGTTGATCACCATGTGGCCCTCCGATCTCTCCAGTTTGACCCGTCTGGATCGCTAGACGCGTTCGTGATAGAGTTTAAAAAGCTAGTTGCCCTCGCCTTTCCCGGTCAGCCGTCAGAGGGGCTGCTGTACAATCACTTTTTGTCTTCTCTCCCCGATGACCTGTGTGCCGCTATCATTGCCGATGGTATCTGCACATTTGATGGAGCGGTCACGAAGGTTAGGAATATGTGTAGCGCCGCGAAACGTACTAATGCAGGGGCTCGAACAGAACCGGTTCGCCAGCTGGCAGCCACTGCTGAGGATTCGTTAGTGGCCCGTCTCGAGCGAAGGATAGCTGAGCTTGAGGCGAAGGTCGAGGCGCGAGGAAGACCCTCCCGCCAGAGTTCAGGGTGTTTTGCTTGCGGAGATTCGGACCATTTTCGCGCACGTTGTGAACATAAAAATGCTGTTTGCTCAAAGTGTGGGAGACGTGGGCATTTAGCTTTGGTTTGTGGCAGATATCCGGGAAACTACCAAGGGTCTCCCCGGGGGGCAACGGGGGGACCGGGACAGACTCAGCGGCCCTGAAGGGTGGGGATAAGGGTGCACCAGACAAATGGGTCCCTTTGGAACCGGATATGACTTTTGAAGCCACATTGGCTGGCGTTCGATGCAAATGTTTGCTCGACACGGGAAGCAGTATAAGCATCATTAGTCAGTCCGTGCTCGATCTGTTGCCTCGTGCTCCTCGACTGCGTCGGACATCGGTTCGGGCAAAGACCGAGTCCAGAGAGGACCTGCCGCTGGTGGGTCAAGTCTCTTTATGTTTCCATATCGGTGGTAGGCCAGTTAATTTCAATGTTTTTGTGTCAAATCACATCGATGTGCCTTGTCTATTGGGTTTGGACTTTCTCCAGGTGTGCCCCTGCGTGGTTGATCTGAGAGGCAGCAGGCTCATCTTGGCGCCGGCTGAATCGGTCCGTTCCGTCTCAGCGGAGGCGGTGTCTGTGGGACGTTTGGTGATGTCGTCGAGCATCAGCGTCCCTCCGGGACGGGAGGCAGTATTTGCAGCCTGCATTCCCAACTGCGAGTACGTAGGACCCGCAATTGTTGAGCCGTCGCTCGAGATTTGTGGGTTGGAGATTGTGCCAGCTGTAGTTGAGGTAGAGGGGAGTTCTGTGCCGTTTGTTGTCCGCAATATAACTGCGGAACATATCAGCATTCCCAAGCGTGCAGAGATTGGACAGCTGGAGGTAGGTTTCGTGGAGCAGCGAGAGCCGGAACTTCTTGAGTCTGTCCAACAGCGTCAGAGATCGGGTCAGATGTTTACGTTTGCCGAGTCTCTCTCGGAGGAACAGCGAGCGAGGGCTCAGGCGGTGCTCGGTAATTACTCTTCCATGTTTGATGGGCACCTGGGTCACACCACGGTTGTGTCGCATTCTATCGACACTGGGAATCATCCCCCGGTGAGCCAGCCGGCTCGACGGTTGCCTCCTCATCTGCGTGATGAGGTCAGAGCCCAGATTGACGATTTGGTCCAGCAGGGCGTCCTCGAGGAGACAGACGGCGGAGGCTGGGCCTCGCCCATTTGTCTTGTGAGGAAAAAGTCAGGGAAATATAGGATGTGCGCCGATTTGCGACGACTGAACGCTGTTACCCGTCCGTCGTCATATCCAGTTCCGAGAGTCGATGATACACTCGATGTGCTTTCTGGGTCAAAGATGTGGTGTGTTCTTGATCTGAACAGCGCATATTTCCAAATCAGCATTGACGAACAGGACAGAGACAAAACGACGATAGTTACCCCGTTCGGTTCTCATAGATTTATTCGCATGCCGTTCGGCTGTCGGTCGGCGCCATCAACGTGTGCCAGATTGTTGGACGTTGTGTTGGGCGACCTGCGCCCGGCCACTTGTGTCAATTATTTTGATGACGTCATTGTGCACGGCTCCGATTTCGATGATGTGTTAAAAAAGCTTGATGCCGTGCTTGGTCGTCTCTACCAGGCTGGTCTCACACTGAATCCGGAGAAGTGTGAGCTCTTCCGGACTCGAGTATCGTTCCTCGGCCATGTGCTGACGCCTGAGGGGCTTTCGGCGGATCCAGCGAAGGTCCAGCAGGTGGCGCAGTGGCCTGTTCCAAGAACGCCAAAGGAGCTGAGCAGTTTCCTGGGCCTTGCGTCATTTTTCCGAAAATATGTCAGGTCGTTCGCAGAGATAGCGGCACCGCTATTCTCGCTGACTGCGAAGGATGTGCCTTTTCGCTGGTCGGACGAGGCCCAAACAGCATTCGACAGCTTGAAAGCGGCTGTTGTCAGTGCGCCCATTGTTGCACTACCCAGGTTTGGGTCGGGGGCCGGCATCTTCACTCTCGATTGTGATTGCTCTGACCATGGAGCAGGAGCCGTTCTACTCCAGGAGCAGGACGGGGTGGAGAGAGTCATTGCATTTGCGAGCCGAAAGCTTTCAAAATCTCAGCGCAATTACAGTACGACACGCAAAGAGCTCCTCGCGTGCGTATTGTTTGTGCAACATTTTCGGTATTATCTGCTCGGCAGGAAGTTCCGTTTGAGGACGGATCACGCCAGCCTGCAATGGATCATGAACTTCAAACAGCCTACAGGCATGATCGCCCGATGGCTGGAAATTCTTGCAGAATTTGACTTCGACATTATCTACCGTCCTGGGGCTCAGAACGCTGTGGCCGATTCCCTGAGCCGTCGGCCTTCAGACAGGATGGATGTGGCGACTCAGGTTCCTGAGAGTGCAGCCGATGTCGTCCACCGGGTCGGGACGAGTGTCTTTCCACCCGGTAGTAAGGATGCGGCCACCCAGACGGCAGGCGATGGAGCTGACGTTGCCGCCAGGATTGACCCACCCCGTGTTTCCTCTGATTTGTCTCGGCCTGATGTGCTGGTTGGTCCAACGGACGGATCCAGTGGTGGATCCAATCGTTCCTCTCAAGTGTCTCAGACTGACGTGCTGGTTGGTCCAGCTGACGGATCCCGTGGGGGGTCCAGACGCTCTTCTGTGCCTCAGACTGATGTGCTGGCTGGTCCGGCTGACTGGTCGAGTGGGGAGTCCAGTCGCTCCTCTAAAGTGGCTCAGACTGATGTGCCGGGCGGTCCAGCTGACGGGTCGGACTCGCTCTTGCTGTCTCCGCGGTCCGCTGGAACCGCTCAGGCTGGTGATATCCTGGTCAATCAGGTGACCGCCGAGTCCTGGTCTATTGGTTACCTCCGTCAGGAGCAGGACAGGGACTCTGGTATCAGGGAGGTCGCTCAACACCTGTCGCTAGGCAAGAAGCCTCGCAGAGCGGAGGTGTCTGAGCTGGCCCGGGGTCTGTATCAGCAGTGGTCCCGGCTGCAACTTATTGACGGTGTGTTGTACCGCATGTACAAGCAGCGTGCCGGAGAACGAGAGAGATTGCAGCTTGTTGTACCACAACAACTCATTCCGGGCGTGCTCATGTCGCTGCATTCCGGACCGGCCGGAGGACACTTTGGTCCTGAAAAGTTACTCGAGCAGGCTCGAGTTCGGTTCTGGTGGCCTCAAATGGCGACCGAGGTGGAAGTGTTCTGCAGAAAGTGCGGACGGTGTTGTTCGCACAGCGGACCTGCCCCGAAACCTCGCGCCCGAATGGGAGAGCTGTTCTCGGATGAGCCCTTTGACACAATATCCATAGACTTCTTGACGGGCCTCCCGGCCACCGAGCGTGAGAATAAACACTTACTTGTTGTTTGTGATCATTTTACCCGCTGGTGCGAGGTCTACCCACTTCCGAACATGAGGGCTTCTACAGTAGCGACTACTTTGGTAGACGAGTTTATTTCCCGATTTGGCTGCCCCAGGCGGCTGCATTCAGACTGTGCCGCAAACTTCGTGGGTTCCGTGCTCACGGAAACCTGCCGGCTTCTTGGTATAGAGAGATCGAAGATATCTCCTTACCATCCTGAGGGCAACGCAAAAGTGGAGAGATTGATGCGAACTATCATCTCCATGCTGGGGCGCTACTTGGATGAGAACCATGCAGAGTGGGACATCCATTTACCACTGCTCATGCTGGGATACCGATCTCAAATTCACACTTCACTCGGGTATTCGCCGTTTTTCCTTGTTTTCGGCCGGGAGCCACGCCTCCCCGCTGAGGTGAATGTAGAGCTCCCGCCCCATCGCAGAGCCGGGAATGTCGTTGAATACGTGGATTCACTGTGCGACAGTCTGCGTATTTCCCGGCAGTTTGGGATCGCGGCGTCCAACAGGCGTCATGAGCGGAACAAGAAGGCTTTCGAGAAAAAAATTAAGCGAGTTTAACTTCCAGCCGGGCGACGGAGTTTATGTTTACAAGAATATTGTGCCGAAGGGGCAATATTACAAATTTGTGCGCCCTTGGAAACCGGGCACAGTGCTGAAAAAGATCGGCGATGTCAATTACCGGGTTAAGGTTCGTGGGACAGGGAAGTCGATTTTGGTCCATCATAATCGGCTGAAACCCGATTCAGCGGCTTCATTCGGCGATTCAGGGAGCCCCCAGGTAGCTGACTATGCTGGACAGCAGAGGGGCTCCACTCGCGATGCTGTCCCGGAGGGCACCGTGCCGACTCCTCAGATGACTCTGGGCGACGCTGCCAGGACTGATGACGTGCCGTTGGTCGGTGGCGCATCGGCGGTGGCGCCTTCCCTGGTCCGTGACGCTGCCGTTTCTGGTCCGTCCAACTCTGTTGAGATGGGGTCTGACCTGGCTGCGTCGCCGGTTGACGTTTTCGGCGGGCCCAACAGAGCGTCCCAGGGGACCAGAGTCGGGCTTGAGTTGGCTGAATCCAGTGTTGGGCGTGCTGCGCCATCTGTGGTATCTGAGGACGGACCCAGAGAGCCCAGCGTGGGACCAGAGGATGATGACTCGGACGTGACCTCCGGGGTGGTTGCAGTGACTTCCCTAGGGGAGAGCGGTGAACCGGGTCCCGTGGAAGGTGCCAGGGAGCGCGGTGAACCGGGTAACGGGGAGAGTCCCGGGGAGAGTGGGGAATCGGGTACCAGGGAGGGTCCCAGGAGATCGGAGAGGAGACGAGCTCCCCCAGATTTCTTTGTTCCCGGTTAGTGATTTATCAGATTATTTAGGGTGTAGCGCGCATTTTGTGTCTGATTGTTATGTGCGAGGTTACACTTGATTTTTGTACAGCACCCATTGCGTGTGTTCGATGTGCTGCATTGGTATCATGTGGGTTTTGTTGTGATATGACTGTGACTGTGGCGTGTGGCTTGCCTTGTTTCACCGGTATATGCTGCCTTACTTTGCGGGGAGTGATGTAGTCGGAGACTGTTGTCGGCTCGCGGAACGGTCCTGCCGCGCCGTCGTGCTGCCGGCCGCGTGATCATCGGCGCGCAGAACGGGCCTTCACGGCGTGGGGTGACCGCTGTGTGTCTGGCGCGAGGTGATTGGTCGGCGTTGGGTCACGGGACCGATCTGACCTCGGTCCGACCCATCGATGACTCGGGATGCTTGGACTGACGTTTGCCTGGTGCGGAGCCAATACAACGACGAGCGAATCGCCATCTTTCTGAGAGAGAAGCACGACTACATATGCATAATACAGTAGTCTATGAAACTACTTATACTACTCTTATTGGTTGCACTACTCGTATGTCTATAATCATCCCTCATTGGAAATAACTGCTCAAGTGTTTACTAATTGTAGCAATGCCCATGCATTCCCTGCTGGCCGCCTTCGATCGTGGCGCCACCTATACTCTGTATAACCGCCGCTCCAGGGCCGCCGCCAGTCAGTCTCGCCAGTCTGCTCAGACTCGTCGTCAGTACGCTGTCTATGTAGTCTGTCAGTGTCAGTCGTCAACCCAGACTAATTACTTTTGTTCGGAAATTTGCTGCTTGTGACAATGCAACTATCGCTAGTACCTCAACTTTTAAATCACCCCGTGACGTTACACTAATATTCCAGGCATATGCCACAAGCATGGACACTATCGAAGGGTGTGCATTGAACCCCTTCCCCCCTCTCACCACATTACGAGACGAGTAATATACACGATTAACGATGAAACTTGCTAGTTGAGGCTGATCAGTTCGTCCATTTGCCGTATCCCCTGTTCATTTGCATATACCGGCATTACATGTGTGATCTGCGGTACCTCACCTCTGACATTGAGGCGACTGAGACCCTCCGGCAGCTGCCCCCTCAGTCGCGGGAGGTCGGCGGCGGTGACTGATAGATCCTGCAGCCCACGGCACCTGGTGAGGGGCTCCAGGCTGCCGGCCGTGTGATCAGTACAATCTGGAAAACACGCAGACACATACAGACAGGATCAGTTAGCTGTAATACATGTCGATATATGACAAAACGAAAAAACACCTAATAATTCACATGGTTTTATGGACACAGTAGACAATGGTAAAACAGTGCTATTATATGATATATGCAATGTTAAGCAAATGCATTGAACTTCACTGAACAGTGCAACACAATTGTTATGAGTATGATCAACTAACTCTGAACGAATATGTCACTGAGTGAACAGTCCTCCATTTTGGAGCTCAATTGACTTCATTATTTCTCAAAGCACATTGGCTATGTATCACACCTATCTCCATGAGGTCCGACACCGGCACACCGTTACTCGGTGTCCGCCATCCGCTGAGTTCGTATATCAGCGGCCTGTCCGTGCTGCCGCTGCTCACCGTATATATACAGTCGTGTGACCGTCCGTCCCAGGTCAGCCAGGTGACTGATGGTGACGGCAGTCACCCCCTGGAGCGACACTGACAGACCACGAGCCAACGGGTTCCATTCCGGCCACCTCGGCTCCGTCACCTCCGGCCCTGTCGGACAGAGCTGTGTCAGCTGACTGCAGTCGGACAGAGCTGCCGCCAGCTCCCCGCTGCACCACTGACACCAGAGTGTCAGACACTGACACAGCCAGCACTGACACAGCCGAGCGGCCGCACAGCAATTTTTTAGCACCAGCAGTCATATGTAGAATGTGAATATGAACATAATAAATATATGCGATAAGTATATGCATAATACAGTAGTCTATGAAACTACTTATGCTACTCTCATTGGTTGCACAATGTCTATAATCATCCCTCATTGGAAATAACTGCTCAAGTGCTTACTAATTGTAGCAATGCCCATGCATTCCCTGCTGGCCGCCTTCGATCGTGGCGCCACCTATACTCTGTATAACCGCCGCGCCAGGGCCGCGGCCAGTCAGTCCCGTCAGTCTGCTCAGACTCGTCGTCAGCGAGCTCTCTATTAGTCAGTCAGTGTCAGTTGTCGATCAGGCGTGCGTTCGACATCCGGAAAATGAGGGATAATTATCCGGGATCACCGGTAATAATTTGGTATTGAGAGGACTATCGATGCAATAAGTCATATTTTTATATTGCTTTTGCTTCAGTAATGGCTCTTTTACTCATTGGCATGTGCGTTGTGCACGGTGTCAGCCTAAAACACCGAATGATCCCGTTGATCCAGGAAAATTATCCCTGATTTTCCGGATGCCGAATTCGCACTAATACTCAATATGTTTGTTCGGAAATTTGCTGCTTGTAACAATGCAACTATCGCTAGTAGGTACCTCAACTTTTAAATCACCCCGTGACGTTACACTAATATTCCACGCATATGCCACAAGCATGGACACTATCGAAGGGCATCCATTGAACCCCTTCCCCCTCTCACCACAATACGAGACGAGTAATATACACGATTAACGATGAAACTTGCTAGTTGAGGCTGATCAGTTCGTCCATTTGCCGTCTCCCCTGTTCATTTGCATATACCGGCATTTTATGTGTGATTTGCGGTATCTCACCTCTGACATTTAGGCGCCAGAGGCCCTCCGGCAGCTGCCCAATCAGTCGCGGGAGGTCGGCAGCGGTGACTGATAGGTCCTGCAGCCCACGGCACCTGGTGAGGGGCTCCAGGCTGCCGGTCGTGTGATCAGTACAATCTGGAAAACACGCAGACACACATACAGACAGGATCAGTTGGCTGTAATACATGTCGATATATGACAAAACGAAACAACACCTAATAATTCACATGGTTTCATGGACACAGTAGACAATGGTAAAACAGTGCTATTATATGATATATGCAATGTTAAGCAAATGCATTGAACTTCATTGAACAGTGCAACACAATTGTTATGAGTATGATCAACTAACTCTGAACGAATATGTCACTGAGTGAACAGTCCTCCTCTATTTTGTTTGGAGCTCATTTAGCTTCATTTTATCGCAAAGCACATTGGCTATGTATCACACCTGTCTCCATGAGGTGCGACAACGGCACACCGTTACTCGGTGTCCGCCATTCGCTGATCTCGTATATCAGCGGCCTGTCCGTGCTGCCGCTGCTCACCGTATATCTCCAGTCGTGTGACCGTCCGTCCCAGGTCAGCCAGGTGACTGATGGTGTCGGCAGCCACCCCCTGGAGCGACACTGACAGACCACCCCTGCACGGGGACCGTACCGGCCACCTCGGCTTCGTCACCTCCGGCCCTGTCGGACAGAGCTGTGTCAGCTGACTGCAGTCGGACAGAGCGGCCGCCAGCTCCCCGCTGCACCACTGACACCAGAGTGTCAGACACTGACACAACCAGTACTGACACAGCCGAGCGGCTGCACAACGATATTTTTACCAACAGCATACATACGTAAATATTCAAATATGAGCAGCATAAGTATTATCTACGATTTTTGCAAGGCACATTGGCTTAGGCACTAGGCAGCCAGTCAAGGTATAGTAACGGATCAGGTTGGTAAACTACCTAAATATATGGTTCGCAGTGGTTGCAATCTAACTATTTCAAATTACAATAATTGCTACAATAATATTTCATGCATGCACTTGATGCTCACACTATATGCAAATGCATGCATTGCATCACTCTAACAATACTATATAACACAAACAAGGCTGTAAGATGTTGGCTGAATTTGATCGGTTCGTCCATTTGCCGTCTCCCTGTCCATTTGTTTATCTATATGCATTGTCCATTATACCGGCAATACATGCATGATCCGTGGTATCTCACCTCTGACATTGAGGCGCTCGAGGCCCTCCGGCAGCTGCTCCCTCAGTAGCGGGAGGTCGGCGGCGGAGACTGACAGCCGCTCCACAGTCTCCCGTGAGCTCCGCAGCTCCGTCAGCTCGCTGTCACCGACTCCGGCCGGAAGGATAATAGTGTTTGGGCCCACCCTGATGATGGCACCACGAAGTTGACTTGGAATAGTAGTAACTTGTGCTGGAAAGGTGATTGAACCAATGTCAGGCATTTGTCTAGGTCAAACATCGTACACTTACCTACAGGTGTAAAAAACACAAAGTGAAAACTGTTTGTGGCTACAATGCTGTGATAATTCCGTGTCTGAGTAAATATGTATGTACTTTATCAAAACGATGTGAATTTCATAAGTTACGGCGACTTTCCGTAACATAATATTCAACAAATAAAATGATAATGGGTCTTTGACATATAAAACAAAATCACCACTAATTAGTCCATTATATTCCGAACTAGGCATATTTTCATGATGTCAATTGATCAATATGACATCATGATGAGTTTTTGAAACCTTTTCACATAAGTATTTTGTTCAGCACTTATGTGTAGCTAATTATAACAATTTTGTATCGTTATAAAATTTGTAGCGTAAATATTACGTCCAATAGAGGCCCAAATCATTGACCATCACCATTCACCACACGGCACACGACTTGTCATCCTACAGCTTGCCATGGCTTATGGCTTCCGTCTTACCTTAGGATGAGGCAGCATTACCTGCAATACATGTAATATGTGTTGTATCCAGTTATTCTTGGTTTGATTTAGGCTTCAGATTTTCAGGGATAAACTGCTTCTCCACGTTATTTATGAACATTTGCTAGAAAAAAGCAGTTCCTTAGAGCAAAAATAACAAGCAAGGAGCGTTGCCGCCGGCCAGTTTTCCTGTTCTTCGTGTCCCTGTGTCGCCCCCTGACCCGTTCAGGAGCGCCCGGCAGCGCCACCTGCACCTGACTGACCAGTCCGGCAGCGTTTGGGGTCGCCGCGCAGTGCGCACCGCCGACAATCAGCTGACGCGGCCGGCAGCGCGTCTCAAGGTCACTGGAGGTCAGCCGGGCCGCGGCCCGCCGGGTGGCCGTGACGTCACAGCCAGCGAACGCTGAGCGCCGGAACAGCTACTGTTGTTTATCCCTTCCTAGCCATTCATATATGAGTAACTTCCACCGCTGCTCACCATCTGTGACTAGTAGGGTAATCCGTGACCCCAGCTCCGTGGCCAGGTGACTGATGGTGTCGGCAGCCACCCCTTGAAGAGATACCGACAGACCACTCCCGTACCATCCCGGCCACCTCGGCTTCGTCACCTCCGGCCCTGTCAGACAGAGCTGTGTCAGCTGACTGCAGTCGGACGGAGCTGCTGCCGGGTCGGGAGGCGGCTGACACTGTGGTGTCAAACCCTGACACAGACGACACTGACAAAGCCAGGTTCGAGCCTCACTGTTGGACAGTAATTGAACATAGTGCACAATGCATGCACTACGCTTATACATGCATCAGTTGATTAATACAGTTCACTACATACAGGTCATACAGGTTCAGTACATACAGGTCATATTCGTTTGCAAGAGTATAAAGTAGGTATCTACAATACAGTGGCTAATATTGGTGTAGCATGTAGGTAGCATGGCACACATATGTCCGCTGAACGTATATCACTGAAACTGTTACTTTATGTACCATGTAAGTACCTACCACCATTCACAAGTAATAGTACGCGTTTCCTAAACTATTTCTCACCGGCAACGTATAGCGTCCTCAGTGACGTCGGCAGCAGCCGCAGCCACCGCCCCGTTCCGAAGGACGGGACCCTGACGGTCAGCTCCTCCAAGCGAGGAAGACTCTGCAGGAGCGCCGTCAGCTGGTCCTCGCCAAGGGCTGACGGAGCGTCGAACGTCGTCACGGTCCTTAGCGCCTCTCTCAGCACTGTGGTATCACTGTCTGCCGATGACTGCGGCTCCGTCTGTACCGTGACGTCATGAAACGCTTTTGTAATTTTACTGGAAAGACAAGAAAAAGTACATATATCAAAATGCAAAAGAAGCTCACAACTTTAGTTGGCTCCTTTGATGATACGATATGCATTTACATATCGTCGTCAGCAAAAGTATGTTGCCAAATCTATTCGGTTGTATGTAATCGTTCAGAGTTGATTTGATACGACTCTGAACGATTTGATACGACCGATTAGATTTTGTGACACGATTGTTGATGAAGACATGTAAATACGTGCGGGATATGATGTCCCGAACTGGCCAACTTTATGCAGGACGGCTGTCGAAAACTGGAACAATACGATCGAGACTAAACGGCTGACTTGCAAAAAATGGTACGAATTCAAGGCATGTTTCTTTGATTGGGCGGAAATTACAATTACAAGCTACTCGACCTTCAAAGACCTACTGTGAACGCCAGACCCCTTGAGGCCCTAGTTTTTCGCGATTATGTTTAAATGCGTGGAAGAATTTCAACCAAGTTCAGGACATGGCCGTTTCAAGACCTGCCGAAACTTTTACAATTTAGATATTTTATCGCCATTTCAATATTTCAGGCACTTCTCATTGACTCGTAATGTTAAATTTCGAGCAATATTTTCACCCGGTGTGTAGAGGCTATCACCAGTCAGTCTGTGATACGTTATGACGTCACAGCTACGTAGCAGTCACAGCCTCTGTGGTCTTGGCCTGCGGCGGTTTCGGGCCGGCGCGCGGTCACTCTCGCTGTGGCGGGGAGCAGGGATGGTCGAGCGGTGGCGAAAGCCGGCGGAGTTGTGCGATAACGTCTTGGCTGACAGTGCCCAAAGAGCGACATGATGACTGAGGAGCCATAAATGCTCTATGCGCATTGCTTGTACAATAGTGATATGTTCGCTGATATTTGTTTTATTTTTTTTATAAGCTGCAAATGACGGGCAGATGGCATATACCTGACATAAGGTTAGGAAATATTCACCAGTGTATTTAAAGCCTATGGCGTTGCAGATAATGCGATAATGGGATGTCGGATGTCACCAAGTAGCTGCCGATTTGTACATCGCTATGCAGCCATCGAACAACGCAATAATAAGTTAATTGCCTTCGCTTCACATCATAAGGCTCGCTCGTATTTCAAACAGATATCCTACATCGAAAATCGTATTTGTTAGGAATCGTTAACGTTTGTTCGAAGCACGTGTGAGTAGTGGGTTGAGGAGTGATGGTCATCTTGGTCCTATATTACAAAAGTCAACAAGAGCCTAACATTTACTTGACCGTCTGCTGCAATTGATTCATAGCACGTGAAGCGTCAGCGAAATTCATAGTCCTTTACATATGGCAGCCCGGTGTCGTTTGTACAGAGGTCGCTGATGGGCACGGGTCAATGCCGCAATCGTGGGCGGAGCCTAATGTCATATGACGTATGAAAGCCTCTATCCAGGATGGAAAAACAGTTAACATTACGAGTCAATGACAAGTGCCACAAATATTTAAGTGACAACAAAATGTATTTGAAGAAAAAGTTTCGGCAGGTCTTGAAACAGCTCCTTCCTTAATATGGTTGAAATTATTCCACGCATTTAAAAAAATCGCGAAAATTAGGGTCTCAAGGGGTTAACAGTAACAGTAACGTTAACAGTAGTGGTGGTTTATTTCTTACACCTTCTACAAAGAACGTTTACTTTTCACCATGACAGCTCTCCGAAATCTCTCAGCCCCCACAGCCACCCCTGCTGCCTCCCAGTCTCACCCCTGGGGACGGCCGGATGGCGCCGCTCGCCGGCGGACCTCCTGCCGCAGATCCTCCACCACGGTCTGGCGAGTGGTCCGCTCTTCGATAACTGCCTGCTCCAGGCGGACCATCGCATCGTGAAGTGCGGCGTTCTCCCCCTTGAGCTTCTGCGTGTCCGAATGGTCCTTCGCCACTACCTCACTCAGAATGGTCACCTTTTCACGAAGGGGGGCCACCACTCCACGAAGGGCGGACATCTCTTCACGAAGGGCAGCCACCACTTCACGAAGGGCGGACACCTCCCGGCGAAGGGCGGCCAGGTCTTCACTCACAGCTGTCATCTCCATCTGGAACGCAGAATTACAGTTTTTTACGTTTCTACTCATCATAAATCAGTGGCCTAGTACGTAGCGTTACGTCGTACGCATTACGACATTTCGTGCAGCGTCGTGTCTAATCACGTCACAAAACGACATGTCATTACGTATTACGACATGTTTTGTAATGCAACCCGTATTGTTGCATATTAGGCAGGCAAGCTTGGCAGTCAGGCAGACAGGTCTTATGCAGGTAACCAATATAGAAATTGACTATCGTTACTAGTTTTTCGCAAAAAAAAAGAGATAATAAAAAAACGTTATCACTTCGAAAGTCTACCCCTGGCCAGGCCGTTTTCATAACGCGGACGGTGAGGGGCCGGTTCGACCTTTGGCGATTAGCTCCTGACCTAATGCACTTAGAAACACCAGATGTATAGGGTAAGTGAACTCATACATCTCGCCCCTGTTCAAATCTAGTGACTGACACAGTCACACAGACAGTTACACAGACAGTCACACAGACAGTCACACAGACAGTCACACAGACAGTCACACAGTCACACAGACAGTCACACAGATAGTCACACAGACAGTCACACAGACAGTAACACAGACAGTCACACAGACAGTCACACATACAGTCACACAGCAGGACCTCGGCTAAGGAATTTCGACTGGGCAGATGGGGACAAACCAGACTCCAGAATTTCAGATACCTACCACCTAATATACACCGTATAAGCGGACCTTTACACCACGCGTAACATACATATTATATATACTGTAGGAAAAGGTATACCAAAATCCTGCCTAATCAGTTAAGGCATCCGTAAACATGTCTACACAAACTTCTACCAAAGGTTTCGAGGCCAGCGTAGGGCGCTCATAAGACGAAGTCGAGCCCCCGGAGGCTAGCAATATGGCCCTTTAGAGTCCGCTTTGGGACCCTAAATGGCCAAATGTTGACGTGGGGCCCAAAGAAGCCAGTGCGTAGCTCTTTTAGACCAGCGTGGGGCAATATAAGGACAGTGTGGTCCCTGTGGGGTCCTCTAAGACCAGCGGCGTGGGGTCTTCTGAGGTCAAATTGGGGCCCTCTGAGAACAGCTTGGGGCTATCTGAGGACAATGCGGGCCTTCTTAGGCAACGTGGAGCCCTCTGTCTTCTGAATTCTAAGGCTGGCGCTGGGACATCAGAGGCCATCTCGATGGCCTCGATGGTCAGACTGTAGCCCTTATGCATGTTTAACCCTCGCCGGACCTATTGGTTTTCTACATACGCGCCGGCCGAGGGGGGGGGGGGGCGGGTACGACCCCCCTCGCCGTTTCGCCCTTGGTGGAGCTAGCGCGTCGCGGAAAAAACGAGCGTGTGCGCCGTTACAAGACGCAGAGATTAGTACCCAATTTTAAGGTCCTAGGTCAACCGGTGACCTCTGAGGTCAGGTCAAGTGCCCCAGGGTACGGTTCGGTTTTTGGTGAATAACTTCGCAAAAAACGGCCGCAGAGCCGCGATTTTGGCAGCATCGTGTTCGCCTCGCTCAGGCGCGTCGAATGGTATACTTTTTGTTCGGGTCAGGTCAACTTAGGGTGTTGACCTCAGGTCAAGGTCAGGTCAGCACCCCCAGGTCACGAAGTTGGTCGAAAGAGGTCATGTCGCATATCATTCGATTCGGCAGGTCTTCCTGAATCCATTGGTGGCTTTCTCGACTCGCTAGCTCAATTTGATCGGGAGTTATTGACGAAAAACTAATATGACCTTGATGACGTCATAAATGACGTCACGGAAGGTCAACATTGCAAAAGTGACGCATCTGACCTTGCAAAGAATGCATCAAATCACGATTCTGTGTGCTTGAGATAGTTGGAGATCGTTCCCGGCGCCAGAATAGCAGTTTTCATTTTTCCCCATTGACTTATAATGGTGAGGTCACGAAAATGACCTGACCTCATATGACCTTTAGGAAAAATCCGAGATATACAAGTTGTGAGACACATAATGGATACTAGATCCTGCAAGTTTCATTTCCCTGTGACATCTCCTCTGGCAGTGAGGGCGTTGCGAAGTTGCGACATCTGAAGACCGTGCAGAGGTTCACTTATGACGTCATAGGTCAGTGACCTGACCTGACCCAAAAATGCAGTTGGTGTCAAAAGATGCGGCTTGGATCAAAGGTCAGGTATGCCAAGTTTCAGCTCTCTATCGCCAGCGTGTTCGGAGCTATCGCGAAAAAACCCTACGGGGGGCGGCACCCCCCCTTGGCCGGCGAGGGTTAAGCCCTCTGAGGTCGAGACGGACCCCTAGATGCCGGCATGACCTCTCAGAGGCCGGTACAGGCTTACTAAAACCGGCATGGGCTCCTTGAGAGCGGAGGGGGCCTTTAGAGGCTTACTAAAGGGCTCTCATGAGCCATCGTGGGCTTTGTGAGGTCAGCATAGGCCTTCAGTGAGGCCATTGTGGGTGTAGAGTCCGTGCCCACCAGAGACCTGTGTTAGCTGCCTGCCAAGCACCAACTGACCCGTCCGGCCTGGGAACTGACCCGGCCAGCCAGGGAACTGACCCGGTCGGCAGTCACAACATCACGTGACCACAGTAGGGCGGGCTGCCACTGGCCGCAGTGCAGACAGCGCGGACGCCAGTTGATACAGCCCAGACACCAGTTTTGTCAGATATCGTCACCAATTTTTCAGGACACTTCCGGGTATTCATTTTACACATTGTGACCAAACAGTTCCTAAACGCTATGATAGGCTGGCCACAAATGACGTAAGAAAGACGTCATGTCCTGCCATTTTCGACAAAAAAAGGTTTCGCGGTAAGAGAATTCAATTTTCAGGCCTACAGTTTTGAAGACACAAAGAAAGTTTCTTTTTGTAAATAAAAGGTGCAAAATTAATAGAACTATAAACCTGTTATCTCATACTTTTGCAAAATTTGGATTTTGACCCCTTAGAATAAAGGATGGATAAAATAGCAAAAAAATATTCCACAGGGCTTTCAAAGTTCGAATAAAAAAGAAATAAATATTATAGTCCCTGTCGTCTTCTATCCACGTACCAAATTTGAGATATATACCTCTCTTTTTAGCTAAGTTATAGCGGAAAAACTGTTCTTAAATTATAATGATAATTTATAATTTAAACATGATTTCCAAAACACACTTTTAGCAATTCTGACCGCGTAGCGCAAAACAAAGACCACGATTAGACTTCCCGTGACGAGCTGCATCGAATCAATACTTATTTTATAAAACATCAACTTTAAAATTTGACCTAGTTTGACCTGAACTTGACCTGACCTTCACCAGAACGTACAGAACGTGGGCTAAAACTGGCCTCAAAGGTTGCGTAACCCACATAATCACATTTGTCAGGTAAAATGGACCATTAAACATTTATTACACGACACTTTCATATTGTGATCCTCAGTGACCTGACCTCTGTTACCTGACATGGTATCAGTGACCTCAAATAGCAAAATATGTGTTTCACGAGCAATTCGTGCGCGCCAACGGGGTGCGGGCTAACAAAAGGATCCGTTTTTTTTAATTCAGGGGTTTATTTCAAAAATCACTTTTTTATTTTGGGGTTCAAAATAAAAACAATTATATAAAAGAAAAGATAGCAGTTTTGCACCGCTGCTTGTTTTATATCTTTTTGTTTTTTAACTTGCGCCCCAGTGGCGGTGTCAGCCAATTTCGCCCTAGTGGGGGGGAGGGGGGCATATGTTACCACCCATCTCTAACTCAAAAACTAAGAGGGCTAGAAAGACGCGGCAAAAAGCAGTCGATAGCTCTCGATGCGTACGCTTGAAAGTATTTTTTGGTCATTTTTTCATCTTAAAGCAATATTGGGGTCACCAGAGGTCATCAAAGGTCAAAATTTGCGCATTGTCATTATATTTTTCAGAAAACATGTCATTATCTCAGGAACTATGATAGCTAGAAAAACGCTGGGAAAAACAACCGATAGCTTTTGAGCTCTTCTTTTGATAAGGTCTTCATCAAAAATGACATCAAGTCAACGGTTTAGCCTCCAGAGAGCAAAAACTCTAAAAATAGCTGTTTCTACGAAGTGTTTTTCGACAATCACTTTTGACTTAAAAAAGTTAGGACATTTCTATTGCCAGAATTGTGTTCTTCTCGCCGAGACGCGTCGAATGAACTATAATTTGACCTTGAAAGATCAACTTCAAAATTTGACCTCAGGTCCCCAGCCAGCAATTCGCTTGGGCTGAACTGTGGCAAGCGTCGGGCAGCTTGGGCTTAGCTTGGGTTTGCCCACTTTGATCAAAACCAATGTATTTTTTACTAGGGCTGAGCTGGGGCATGCATCAGCTATGCCCACGTGCGGATAGCAGTAGCTCAGCCCGACATCTGCCCGCGCATCCAAAACAGGCTTAACTTGGGCGGAGCGCGGGCTGATCAAGCTGGCTGTGTCCTTCGGCTAACTGGAGTAAAGCCGGAGCTTAGCCATACTTGTTCGGCTGTTCGCGCATGCGCAGTTCTGCGCCAATCATGTGCAGCGTTTGTGACAGTCTGTGCGCTGTGCGACGAAACGACACACCGGTGTTGGGGCATTTGGTGGTTGATGTTTGGGCGCGTGTGACAGCGCGAAGAAGGGATAGTGCTCACCGCTCTTATCAAGTGGACTGGCATGGAGTTTTACGGTAGGTAAGTGTATTGACAGGGTGCGCTTGATCGTATGTAAACGTCATGATTTTGACTGAGTTTGACGCCATCAAACATGAAGCTGAATAGCTGTTCAGCCTGGCGACTTATACCCTCGCTCAGAAAAGCTGCATTCCGTGCCTTTATATCTTTGTGAAATACCAGCACTTCTGACCCAGGAAAATGAAATACAAAACACAAATATTTATCTATTTTTCACCGAGCACGCTCATTCTCTGTCCGCATTTAAAATCAAATGAACATTTTATACGGATCAATGCAAAGTGTTTTACAGTGTTAATGCATCAATAAGTTATTTTCAAGCAAACATGCAATGTAAATTAAACCAATTAATCTCTTTTTCAGGTACGTACCATTAGAGCAAATGGTTCAAAAAAATGGAATAGTTATACAAACCAGGACCGGGTGGACGGGTGGACGCCGCAGTTGCCCTCGCCAAGTGGTTTAGCGGAAACTGCCTGCTTATAATTAAGTAGGTATACCTACATATACGGAAACTGCGCCGAAAGCTGGCCGACCACCTAGTGTAGATGTGTGTGTGTGTGTGTGTGTGTGTGGAGGAGCCAGACGCCTCCAAAGCTCCCATTCACCAGAGTGAAGTTCCTTATAAACGATTGTTTGCTTATTGCTTTATGTCTTATGAGCGATTACTTGCTGTCCTTACTTTATGCTTTCAGTTGAGTGTTTAACCAAGTATTATGAACGGGGAGGGAGGCTAGCGGGCCTTGTGATTGTTTTATAGTTTTGATGGCGTTTTTCATGACTCATGCCATATTACTGCTGCAGTTTGCAGTCCACTGTTTCATGTATTTGTGTTTCATTTGACGTGTCTGTAGTCGTTTGAAATATACATTAAATCAAAGTCAACCACTACTTTCCTTTTGCAATGCTCGAGCCTCGATGACCGGTTAACAGAGCATATGAGTGACCGTAACAATTTTAAATATGCATTGAAACCGCACAACCTGCTGAAAGTGCATTGGCTGCTCCTTGCTACTTGATCCAGTGTGAAGCAAAAGCAAGATGAAGTCAAGTCGAGACTTGAGAAAACAGGAGCCATCACTCCAGCCGAACCCGAGCAAAGCCACAGCAGTTTGCAATGTATAAACCCCATTCACTTCTATGGCTTAAGTCGGGATAGACAGGGCACACAGAGTGGGCTTGCCGGAGTTCAGCCCGCTCGGGCCCAGAGTAATCTCCATTATATAAATGGATTCACTGCTCGGGCTTAAATCGGGCTATCGCCAATCGTCGCTCAACTAGGGCTAAACTACGGCTGTCCGGAGCTCGCAGAGCGGGCATACCTCCGGCAGAGCATGGGCTTTAGTCGGCGTATTTGTGTCATACGCCGACTTTAGCCCAAGCCCTAGCCGACTTTAGCCCGACTAAAAATCTCGGGCAATCCGCACTTGAGCCTGCTTGGGCCCGGATCAAAATTGCTGGCTGGGTCAAGGTCATGACCTGACCGGAAAAGGTCATGTCGCACATCAGTCGATGCGTCTAAACAAGACAAGCACAATGAGACCAACCCCAGCATTCTATCTCTTTCCAATCGCGAGTTATTGACAAAAATTTGTTTGAAACCTCAAATGACCTCGGATGACCTTTCTAGAAGTTATCAGCAAAAAAGACACCTTGGTCGTCACGGGTGGGCCAAATCATTGTGATTCTGAAATATTTGGATTGTTCCTATGCGTACACACGGATCTAGAGGCATTTTCGTTTTTCTCCATTGACTTATAATGGCAAGGTCACGCCACTTACCTGACCACGCATATGAAAAATCCGAGATATACAAATTGTAGGCACCTATAACATCATGCAATCCACCAAGTTTAAAACCTCTCTGACAAACACTGCAGGCTGGACATGATTGCAAACTTTTTTTAGGCTTGGTCAGTTAACTTGACCTGGTGACCTGACCTGACATGACCTGGAGTCAAAAATTTTACACCTTGTCTTAAATTGATGTGCAAAAAGCTACCCCGAGCGGCGTGGCGCTACGCGCCGCGGTTTTTTATTCACACGCAAAAAACTCCCCCCCCCCCCCCACTGGGGCGAAGGTTTTTCTCTAGATAGATTTTTATCTCTCTTCAAAACGTTGGGTTTGACAGCTCTTCTCACCAAACCTCTTTTGGGTCGGAAATGCCTGAACATGACGTCACTCTGACGTCATTTACGGCTAACCTATCATAGGCTGTGGAAAAAAGGTCACAATGTGTAAAATCGATTTACAAGAGGGTACTGAAATTTTCGCGACGATCGGCGCATTAGTTTGAGAGATAATGCGAAACGACTGGAAGTGGGGGGGGGGGCAAAAATACCCCCCACCAGGGTGCGGGCTAAAAAGTTTCCACTGGGTACCCTAAAGTAAAGGTAACCTCAGGATTGTGGATACGCCGCTGGATGTTCTCTACGATATTAGACTAAGAGCAGTGTAAACACGGGCGACAAAATATGAAAAGGAATTAGGATCGATTGACTTTCACATCGGGTTTGACAGCTTGGATAATATTTATTTGAAGCGCATTATAGGTATTCACTCCAACAGGATGGGCAAAATCTCGTCACTGCAGGGGCAACTGGCAGCCACTGCGGGACATTTGCCCCTTCCCCAGTAGCGCGGAACAGCTTCAATTAAGGTGGGGGGGGGGCATTGCCGACTTTTGGTCCCATTCTGTCCATGCAACGCCCATAGGGCTTATGTTAAAATGCCGCAATCAAGTTGGCACGGTTCCCCGGTGCTCCCCTCCCCTCCCCGTTCCGCCACCTATGCCCTCTTCCCCGTTACTTCATCTAAGCACAGACATCCAAACACTCAGACGGGTACCTAGCACACAGAGAAAACACACAAAGACTCACAGAATCACATACACACCGTTACACAAACACATATAGTCTGACAATAGACAGAGACGCACAAAACACACTCAAACAACAGACACAGGGACACACAGATCCCCCCCCCCCCACACACACACACAGGTCGGCCCGGCTCACCTGATATTCGCCGCCTCCGCCGTGGTCGGCTCCGGTGGACAGAGCTCAGTACCGTCCACACACTGTTGGACCACCCGCTCTGTCCACTGACCCGGCCGGTGGACGCAGTGCAGCTCGTGCGGCTCCGGCTCCTCCGTCGGCCTTTGTTCCTGTCTGGAACTGCGTCGGACATCAACACCGCGAGTCGGTGTGTCGGCAGAATCGATCGTGTTCAGTGAGTCGGCGGCGCGGTGTCCTGGCCTGATGACGTCAGTGGGGGGTCACCAGGGTTACAGGGACAACACGGGCCGCCGGTCGATGTGCAGTCCCCCCACCCCTTCCCTTCCCTTCCTCAGTACCCGGGACAACTCTGCAACTCGGCAAAACACAACATAGTGACGACTGACGAGCAGGCATGAACGGTTGAAAAACAAAACCGATGATAGGCGTAAATGGGTAATGGTGAGCGGTGGCGCAAAAGGACCGCTCGATTTGCATAGGCCGCGAACAAAGGGTCGCCGCCGCCGCCGCCGCCGCCGCGGAGTCGCGGTGTCGCGGCCTGCAGCCGGCAGCGGCCCCTCCCCGTCGGAGCAGCGGAGGAGGGTGCGTGCCGCGGGGAGGGGAGCCGGCGGCGGGGGAGGGCGCCGGCACCTGCCGACCACCTGGTGACCCGCGGCGCCCCGGCGCCCTCCAGCCAGGCGTGACCGCGCCGCCGGCGCCCTCCCCGCCCTTGACCCGACATAGACCCACCGCCGCCAGCGCGAGCCGACGGTGACCATTGTGACGCACATTGGGCGGGGCGTGCGCCGCGCTCGCCCCCAGTGCGCCGCATTCGTGCTCAGCCGTCCGTGAAATCCCATTTGGCGCATTGTGCGAGCGGGAGACGCGTGCGGCGCCGGTGAGAACAGGTGGAAAGGTTTCCCGGCGGTTGGGTCACAGCGCGCCGGTCAGCGGGCGGCCGCGGGCCGGGACGACAACCGAGGTGCTTCGGCGGCCCGCCGACAACGTTGACAAATCGTGTTTTGTATTTTACACTCGCACAAGGTCACACGGGTCGCCTGTGCGACACTGTGCGAAATTTGCTCTCAACGAGAATAAAGTGAGTCGGTGACAAACAAAAATCGGCACGAAGCACCGTACCGGAACTTATGGCCATTTAGCACGGTATGTCAGTTGACCCGCGGACCATGTAAAAGGCACAGTGGGTGGCGACATTCCTTCTTCCACTGGTCGTTTGCCGCTGGCACTGTCAGGGAGCCGACCAAGGTAACTACCGCCCCCTCTCGATAAACTGCAGGAATTGAGCTGCTGCTCACACCTCGGTACAAACCGAGAGACAATGGCGCCGCGTCTTCCGTGGGTGAAAAACGACATTTTTCTGACTTTGAAAATTGCAGCCTGCATTTTGAAAAAAATGCATTTGCATTTGAGCCTGCAGTGAAGTATGCAAAAGTCAAATAAATATGTGACTCCTCAATCAAAAATGAATTTATCGGTGCTTTTGATAAAGCTTTTTTAGATTTACACCGAAAGAGTAGTACCTTGCTTAAAATACTCGTGCTTCTACCTCATGCTGCTTGTCACGGAAAATTTATTTTCTACCGTGGATCTGGTAAAGCACTAATGGCTCTGTCAACCACCACCACCGGTAAGCCAACAAGGCTTGTGGTAGGTTATCATCACTGTAAGACATCATTAGCCGCGTTTACATAGGGCTAGTTGCCAGATAGTGGAATTTCCACTAACAGAGGGTTCCCGAGAAATACGCCATGGCCAATATCCTGGACGCAATTCGGTGTGCAGACGAAAATATGCATGTGAGTGCTAGAAATTCGTAAATTACATTATTTCATTGACTTTTTTTGTTAAAATCACGTGATGACAAGCTCAGCAAATCTATTCATGGTGGCTTACGTGGCAAATTGGCTTTCCTTTGTGGGATAATGCCATTTTCATTAGCTCTACTTTGATTAGCGTATGACAGGTGTTCGTGTAAAATAAGCAATTTTACCTATTTCCTTCATCAGTTTGGTAGCTGAAACAGCTACCAATTTACTTCCACTATGACAGTTTCCAGTAACATATGCTACTGATTGGCTAATATTAGCCAATCAGATCTCTGGAGTTCCCCGCAGTGCGTTACAACTATGACGCGGCAAAGACATATTTGGACATATCATTTCTATATTGATATGCCTATCTACATTGCGTTGGCCTTGTGTGGATGTCGTCAAGAGAAATATTTTTGCCTAAGGTCTGTGAGACGCTAGTCGCTACTCTTCTATACGTTATAATACCCTTTTTCAATATGAATACGGTGCCGTGTTCTGACTGCAGACTCCTGGTAAGTTTGTGAAGGTCTCACGGAAGGGTCGAGAGCGCTCTTTCGCTTTTCGATCCAGCAGGCAACAGCAATGATTTTTGTAAGGGAGTATCAGTGGAAGTCACAAATTTATTTAAAAGTTGGTAAAGTTGTTTTGGTTTAAAAGTTGGTGCATTTGCCTTGTCAAGGGTATGGAACCTCAATATATTGCTTAGTCATATTTCCAGGATGTTGATAGGTATGCTTGGAAAAAGATGTTTTGATAATGTCGAGAAATGTAGCAAGGACCTTCCCATCTTCAAATCAGTTGCTCCCTACAGTTTCATGATTTTAAGGTGTGCATGAAATAATGAGAAAAGGTAAAAACAAAAATATGAACAAAATTTTTGTTAATTCATGATGCATGATAGAAAAATAATTTTCTGTCGTTGATTAAAGCAAGGCTTGCGACTGAACCATAATGATAATGTGCATTGACTGCTGCGCAGTGTCCCAAAATTTGTAGATGTGGGTGGGAAACGACATCGAAATGCAAAAAAGCATTTTCCACTCTCACATCCAGTTTTCAAGCCCAATTTTCCACTCCCAATTCCACCGAGAAGGAGCAATTGCGGGAATGGTTGTTTTACATCTGTCACAATTGTAGATAGATTAATGTTTTTGACCATTTTCCCACTATTTTTGGGCCTTACCTGACCGACAATTTTTCACTCATCGTTTTTTTTTTGTCAGCAATTTTCCCCTCTGACACCCAAGCAAAAATAGGATTTTGGTACATTGCCAATGTCCCAAAATTTGTCGATTTGGGTGGGAAACGACATCCAAATTAAATTCATTTTTCACTCTTACCACCAATATTTAAGAATAATTGTCCACTCCCAACCAAGAAAACTTAGGATTATTTACCAGGAGCAGTTGTGTGGATGCCAGGTTTAGCATCAAACATTCTACACCCTGGAATAAAATACATGTTTTTGTTGTTTCTCACTCCTTTTAGATCTCATCGAATCAGCAGTTTTCTACCTCCCCCCATTTTGGTGGGTATTTTTCCCCTCTGACACCCATGACAAAACTCAATTTTGGGACACTGCTACGCCGGACGCCGGTGAGACCATCTTGCGCCGAAATTCGGTGCAAGCGATTTTGCGCCGAAATTTCTGAGTGATTTGCGCCAAAAATTAGGTGCCCACTGCTATTGCTTAACGACGCTTGGCGACGTTCAACAAGGTTTTCCATGCCTATCTCTACGCCGAAGGGTGAGGTCTCACCTGGGCGGCCGTTCCTCCGCTGAGTAGACTCAGGGCGGCTCGCCAGTTCGAGCACGCAACGACCGGGGCGGGGACGTCTCGCCCCGCAACCTCTCCAGAGCTGCCCACGGGGCGAATCTGCTGCTAGATTGACCAGCGTACCACATAAATTCTCGGTGGTGAGCAGCCTTAACGCCTAAAGAGACCCTCCCACCTTCAAAAAAGCTAATGAATTGGCATAAAAGTGATGTCCAATGGATGAGAGTGAGCAAAAAGGAATATCTACTGGTGTACATCAGTTTCCATCGAAAAATATTCACTGTTTTTTATAGATATTACACTTATTATTTATTTCCCGGGGCCTACGCTGTTCATACGAAGTCTTTGGGAAACCGTTATTTGGTATTTTAAAAGTGCGACCGATGTTGCGCGCAAAGCAGCATATACCACCACTGCTTCTTGATGATGTTAGGATGTACAAAACTATGGTCCTTTTAAAGAAGATAATGTATTTTACTTGACGAGAATGCTGCAAAAATTCCTCTAATAATTATAACCAGTAATTACTTCTATGATATACGTATGAAGGTACCTATTTTGCAACTGTGTCAAAGCACAAAAGAACAGCATTCTGACAGCTCACTGTGTTATGTGTAAATGGCAAGTTTGGTTAAACTTGGTCAGTGCTGAACTTGGATTTTAATTGCTAATTGTTTTGTCATTTCAGAGTGTTAATGGAAACAGACGATACTGAGCTGGGGCTGGATGCAGGAGGCGACGGACGCTGTGGTGTGCTGGGCAAAATAGTCCAAGATGCTGGTAGCGGGTGAAATACGCAGCTGCTCGTCGTCTCCTAGAGCGCCGCGGACGCCGTGGACTGCGCCATCAAAGTCGACGGAAAGTCGGTTCCAGCAGCCGACCGTCTCAAACTACTCGGAGCCACCCCCTCAACCTGCTCCTTCACTTCGGGGCCCATTGCCGCAGTCTCCGCTCCCGAGTGCTCCCCGGATCCAGCAGCTTCGCAAGCTGACAGCGCGGGGCTGGGGACTAGAGGAACGACAGCTCTGCGCTGTAGCGTCTGGATACGTCCGTGGAGTGCTGGTGCACGCGGCCGCCACCTGGCTCCTGGTGACGCCACAATCCCACGTGGAACTCCTCCAGAGGGAGATGCGGGCGGTGACCTGTATATCACCGGCTGCCCCTTGTTTACCCCAGCCCACGCAGTGATGGCGGAGGCCGGACTGATTGATGCCGGTGCCCGCTGGCCGCCCGGCGAGACGTGCTGGTAGCGAAGCTCTTCGCCAAGGCGCACGCGCTCCCCGAGGGCAAGCCCTCAGGACTATCGCGGAAGATGGGCCGCCCAGCCGACTGAAGTCGGTGACGGGCTGGCGTGGGGAAGGGCACGAAACCTGGCGAGCGGCTGGGATAATCTCTGATTCATGCTCGTGTCGCCAGTCGCGAGTGACATCTGTGTGCTGCGCGCGCGTCCAAGATGGCGGGCGGCGATGAGGCGCAGTCGGCCGCCGCCGCCGAGAAGCCGTCTGAGATGGAGCTGCTTCGGGGCATGCTGCAGCAGCAATTGGAGCTGGCTGCAGCGGCAGCGCGACGTGAGGACCGGATGGCCGCGCTGATGGAGCGGGTGCTTCCCGGCCCGACGGCCGTGCAGGACGCCACGGCACCCGCCCAGGCAGCCGCGGGGCCCGATTCCGGCGCCCGGCCGCGTGCACGCATGCCCGCCGCCGGCACGCCCACGCCCCGGCTGGCGGCTACCGCTACCCTCAAGGAGTTTGAGGCCTGGAAAGAGAAGTTCTCCGGCTACTGCCTCCTCACCGGCGTCCACGATCTCACCGAGGCTGAGCAGCGGGCCGCCCTGCTCGCTGTTCTCGACGACGACTGGGCCCGCGTGGTCCGGTTTGGCCTGCCCATCCCGGCCGAGGCGTCCATGGCCGATGTAATCACCGCCATGCACGCCCACCTTCGGCGGCAGCGGAACGTGGTGATCGACCGCTGCGAGTTTAACATGCGGATGCTGGAGCCAGGCGAGTCAGTGGACGATTTTATCTGCGCCCTGAAGGAGATAGCGTCCTGCTGCGATTTTTGCCCGAACTGCACCGATGATAGGTTCCGAGACCATCTGGTGGTGGGCACCAGTGATGACGAGGCCAGACGCCGCATGCTGGAACTGCCCGATCTGACCTTCCAGATGGCCGCCGACCTGTGCCGGGCGTCCGAGAGCGCCCGTCTCAACAGCTCGGCGATCCGTGGCCCGGGCAAGCCGTCTCTGCGCCGGCTCTCCGAGTACCGGCGACAACGCGGTCGGCCGAGCGGCGCGGACTCGCGCCCGGCCGACCAGACCCGGCGGTGTGACCGCTGCGGTGCCGCGCAGCACACGGACGGTCGTGCCTGCCCCGCCCTGGTTCGCACCTGCCACCGATGCCACGAACGGGACCACTTTTCCTCGGTCTGCCGGCATGGCGCGGGCACTGAAGAGCGGCGCCGGCAGACGCCTAGTTCCGAGCGCAGCCACCAGGGACAGGACTGGCGCCACCGTAGCGCGAGCAGCAGCCGCCAGGGGAGGGGCCGGCGCCACCGTAGCGCAATCAGCCGCCGCCGTGTCAGCACGGCTGCCGACGCGTCGCACCGGCAGGTTTCGGTGCTGGCAGCGAGTGCAACCACGAGAGACACGGGGAACCGGCAGCAGTCAGCGCCGCCGGCAGCCCGGACGCCGGGCGCGCGCCTCAACAGTGTGACGGCCCACCGGTCGCCGCAGGTCTGGCTACAGCTGCACCTACCAAACGGAGTCAGGCGGTCGACCGTATGGACGCCCGACACCGGCGCCGGGATATCAGCCCTCTCACTGCAACAAGCCGAGTCCATGGGAGTGAGCAGAGCGGACCTCACGCCCTCCACGGCTGTGCTGTGGGCCGCCGACAGCCGCCGGCTGGACTGTGTGGGCACGTGCGCCCTCACCCTGCAGCTCGGTGACGTCATACAGACCGTGCAGGTGTCCGTTCTGCGAGCACTGCACTCACCACTGCTGTCGTGGCACGATTGTATCGGCCTGGGAATTCTACCGGCGAGCTTTCCCCGGCAGATTTGCCAGCGCGGCTCGGCAGCCGAGACTGGGACGGACGGTGGGGCACCGGAGCCGCCGCCGCCCGGCGAGCCGCCTGAGGCCCCCGCCGCCGGCAGACAGCCCGCACTACGGCGCTGCAGCGGCACGACGGCGGCACCTGAGGAGACCCGGGACCTAAGCCGCGTCTCTGCCGCCGACCGGCCGGCCGCCAGCTCGGCCGGCGCCGACCCGACCGGGCGGGCGCCGCCGCCCGGCCCTACGCGCGCGCCGCCGCCCGGCCGCGCGCACGGCCCGGCCGCCGGTGGCACCCCCTCCGCACGGCAGCGGCGGGCAGATTTCGACAAATTGAAAGCCGAGTTCCCGAGGGTCTTCGATACGAAGTCGACCCTGCGGAAGATGACGGGGGAGCCGATGAAGATCGAGCTGACGGACGACGCCGTCCCTCACGCTGTGACCACCGCCCGGAATATCCCGTTCTGTTGGCGAGAGGACGTGCGACTGCAACTCGACGAGCTGATGGAAAAGGACATCATCGAGCCGGTGGAGCACCCCACAGACTGGTGTCATCGATCGTTCCTGTGGCCAAGGGGTCGTCAGACGGCACAGTGTCCGGCTGTCGGCTGACCGTGGACTTCACGAAACTGAACCGGTTCGTGAAGCGACCGACGTACCCGGTCCGCTCGCCTCAAGACGCAGTCGCCTTCGTCTCACCCGGCGCTGCGTACTTCACCAAGCTGGACAGCAAGGCGGGGTACCACCAGGTCCCCATCCGGCCAGAAGACAGAGACCTGACGTGTTTTATCACGCCGTGGGGCCGCTACCGGTACCTGAGTGCTCCAATGGGAATCGTCAGCTCTGGCGACGTGTACAACCAGCGCGGTGACGCCGCGCTCGGCGACATCCCGCGCACGTGTAAGGTCGTGGACGACGTCCTGGCCTATGACGCTGACTACGCCGCCCACCTGCAGCACGTGCGGCAGATTCTGCTGAGGTGTGACCAGCACGGTATCACACTCAACCCGGACAAATGTCAGTTCGCGGAAGACGAGGTCGAATTCTGCGGCTTTCGCATCAATTCGGCTGGCTATACCGCCGACGGCAAGAAAGTCCGTGCCATCCAGGCCTTCCCCAGGCCGGGCAACATCACCGACCTACGGTCGTTCCTCGGCCTGGTGACCCAGCTCGGCGCCTTCTCCCCAGAGGTCGCCGCCGCCGCCTAGCCGCTGAGACAGCTGCTGCGGCCGCGGAACGCGTGGCTGTGGACGCCAGCGCACGAGCAGGCGTTCAGCGCGGTGAAGATGGCACTCACGTCGCCTCCCGTGCTCGACTTCTTCGACCCTCGCCGCCGCACAGTCCTGAGACTGACGCCGCTCGCTCCGGCGGCCTGGGCTACTGCCTGCTGCAGCAAGACGCCGCAGGCCGGTGGCGACTGATCCAGTGCGGCTCACGCTTCCTATCGGACGCCGAGTCGCGGTACGCCGTGATCGAGTTGGAGCTGCTGGCCCTGGCCTGGGCCTGCAAGAAATGCAGCATCTATCTCGGCGGGATGCAGCGGTTTGAAGTCCTGACCGATCACCGGCCGCTCATCCCGATCCTCAACAGTAAGAGCCTTGCGGAGATCGAAAATCCGCGGCTCCAGCGGCTACGAGAACGGCTGGCGCCGTTCAACCTGCTCGCCACCTGGCGGCAAGGCAAGCTGCACGCCATCCCGGACGCGCTGTCGCGCGCGCCGGTGGATGACCCGACGCCTGAGGACGAGGAAGCCGAGAGGGACGCCAGCCATCAGCTCGCCAGCGTGCTCTCACGGCTGGCCACCGACGGGGCGGACGACAGTCCCAGCCCGTTCAAAGACGCGGCGCTGACAGAGGTGCGCGCCGCCGCCGCCGCCGATCCGGAGCTCATCACACTCACTGACCTGATCCTGAACGGGTTTCCAGAGCACCGGTCACAGCTGGACCCGCGCCTCCGACCGTACTGGGGAGTTCGGGACCGGCTGGCCGTGGATGACGGCCTGGTGGTGTGCGGCCAGCGGCTCGTGATACCGCCCAGTCTGCGGCGCGCCACGCTCGAGCGCCTGCACGCCAGTCACCAGGGCGTCGAGCGCACCAAACGCCGCGCGCGGCAGGTAGTCTACTGGCCGTTCCTGGACAGTGACATTGCGAACCATGTCGGAGCGTGCCCGGCCTGCCAGCAGTACCTGCCCAGTCAGCAGAAGGAGCCGCTGATGCCGGAAAAGACGCCATCACGAGTGTTTGAGGCTGTCTCCGCTGACTTCTTCGCCTGGGCCGGCCGCACGTTCCTGGTATACGCGGACCGGCTGTCCGGGTGGCCGTTTGTGTCGCACGTGGCCGGCGAGGCGACTGCCAGAGACCTGGTCTGCAGCCTGCGCCAGATGTCCGCGGCCACCGGCGTGCCCACCACCCTCCGGACAGACGGTGGACCCCAGTTCACCGCCCGGCTCACCCGAGAGTTTCTGCGCCGCTGGGGAGTGGAGCACCAGATCTCCACACCGCACTACCCTCAGTCTAATGGGCACGCCGAGTCGGCGGTCAAGGCCCCCAAACGGCTCATCCAGAAGGCGACCAGCAGCGGTGAGCTCGACACGGACGCCTACGCTCAGGGGCTGCTGGAGCTGCGCAACACGCCGCGCGCCGACGGCCGCTCTCCGGCTCAGGTCCTATTCGGCCACCCGCTGAGATCGGCAGTGCCGGCGCACCACCGGTCCTTCGCCGACTGCTGGCAGCGGACGGCGGACGACTGTGACGCCAGGGCCGCCGCGCAGCAACAGGAAACAGCCGAGCGGTACGACACGACAGCCCGCCAGCACAGCGCGCTCACCATGGGTCAGCGTGTGCTCGTCCAAGACCCGCGGTCGGGGCTGTGGGACCGCGTCGGCGTCATCACGGCGGTCGGACAGCGGCGCGACTACCTGGTCCGACTGCCCAGTGGCCGAGTCTACTGGCGGAACCAGCGCCATCTGCGACCCCAGAGATCTCTCATCTCGGAGGGCGCCGCCACACCTGCACCCGGGCGCCGGCAGCAGCTCGCTCCGAGCTCGGCACCCGACGGCACGGAGGAGACCGCCGCCGCTGCGCCGGCGGGCGGACAGCCGGCACCACCGGTACTGCGGAACAGCGCCGACGACCCCAGCTCAGTGCGCCGTGGGACGCGCCGCCGTCGCCGTCCGGCCCGACTGACCGTGCGCTGGGCGGACCAGACGTACGACTGAGTTCGTGCGTCCACACTGTGTGTGGTGTACATTTTTGTTTATGTGTTAGGCCGTAGACGCAATGCGTATCTTGTACCGACGCATGCGTCTTGAGGGGGGGGGGGGTGTTGTGATGGGGCACGTTTTCCTTTCCCTTCATTTGGTCTCACCCCCCGGTCATATGGAAGCACATAAAAAATAAACAGTTCCATGGTCGCCGCCATCGTGTTTCGGTCGTCCTGTGTCGCTCCAGGGATATCGCCGTGTTAATCGCCACTACCGACCATAACAGAACTGACGCATCGGCGGAAGCGGGAGTCCGCAGCGGAGAAGCCTTCGTGGAGTGTACACGGGTGTGGGAAATGAATGCTAAGTGTATCCAAATTGAAGGCACTGCTCTCGAATGATATAAATACTGAACAGCTTTGGATTGTTTATATTCCAAATGTTTACTTTCAGGACAAGTACTCCTTGTCATTCGGTCGTCAACTCCTCTCTCCGACCCCGGCTTAGCGCAGGCACGTATAACCTAGAATTTGGCCGAGGGGGGGGGGGAGCGGAGGAATCCCGTAGAGAGAGCCTCCTACCTACAGAGGGCCCTCTACCCGAGGAGTCAGAGGGGTCCTAGTGGTCAGACACAGACACTAGCGGTTATTCACAGGAGGCCCCATGCAGTAAATTGAAGGACCCTAGGTGGCAGGTGAGTCGGAGAGCCTTGATTGTCCTGAGTCCTGACGTGATTTTTTGGGGGATTCCCATGAATTTCGTTCGTCTCCGACGTGATTTTGGCCAACGTGGGCCTTCTGCCAGCATGGGCCCTGAAAACCCCTAGGGGGAGGCGCACCCCGTCCGTCCCCCCTTGGGTACGTCCCCGGTCGGTCCAGCGACTCCACACGCGCCTACCGACACACAAGAAACTCTTGCCAGTATGTTTGCTTCTGACGCAATCATGACAGAATTACGCTCTATTGATATGCATGCTGCCATTGCTTTGGAGTCGGTGTTTTGAATTTCTGCGTTTTTTTTTTTTGATCGGCTCCACTCTCCAGACAGCTGGCTCAGCCTGATCGACCAGAGCAATGCGACACCTATACCAACTTGATACCAACCTACTTGGCGGGACGTGCATAAAGTTGCATTATATTCACATTCAGATTCGCGTGCACATTCGCGGACCCCTCAGATTTGGCTCAAAATTGCACAGCTTATAGATATTGAGCTCCTGATTGCGAAAATCATGTCTTTATTTCACGCCGTCAAGTGGTTCTCAAAATATTCACATTTGTATTACTGCTAACATATTCTGGACCGTAACCCTTATTGGAAAAATCGGACCCCTCCAAATATTTCAAAGACTCCTGAGTTGATGTAAACATAAGCGCTGATCCCGAAAAAATAATTTGCACTTAACGCCGTCCCATAGTTTTCTCAGGATGAGCATCTAAAGTTCAAGGTCGTTCAAGGTCATGTACCTTTTCTCACCTTTTGACGCTATTTGACACGTGACAGCTTTATATTTATGATGGACATTCGCACTTCCTCCTACAAAGACAATATACTGAAATCCAAGGGGCGTTGCTGTACCAAAATGTAAAAAAAGCGTCAAAACCTCTTTCATACAGGTAACAGTTAAATACAAGGGATATTCGAATTTGCCACACATAAAGCAAATTTGTCGGACATGGTCGGACCCCTCCGATATTGTTCAAAATCTCAGGAATGATGCTCCTTGACCTCCTGAACATGAAAATGGTACTCCCTTTGAACGCCGTCAAGAACTTTTCCAGATATACGCATCCATGCACATTCAAATTACATAGGTGTTGCAAATGGACGTTCGGCGGACCCCTCCGATTTCGTTCAAAATCTCAGGAATGATGCTCCTTGACCTCCTGAACATGAAAATGGCACTCCCTTTAAACGCCGTCAAGAACTTTTCCAGATATACGCATCCATGCACATTCAAATTGCATAGGTGTTGCATATGCACGTTCGGCGGACCCCTCCGATTCCGTTCAAAATCTCAGGAATGATGCTCCTTGACCTCCTGAACATGAAAATGGCACTCCCTTTGAACGCCGTCGAGAACTTTTCCAGATATACGCATCCATGCACATTCAAATTGCATAGGTGTTGCATATGCACGTTCGGCGGACCCCTCCGATTTCGTTCAAAATCTCAGGAATGATGCTCCTTGACCTCCTGAGCATGAAAATAGTACTCCCTTTGAACGCCGTCAAGAACTTTTCCAGATATACGCATCCATGCACATTCAAATTGCATAGGTGATGCATATGCACGTTCGGCGGACCCCTCCGATTTCGTTCAAAATCTCAGGAATGATGCTCCTTGATCTCCTGAACATGAAAATGGTACTCCCTTTGAACGCCGTCAAGAACTTTTCCAGATATGCGCATCAATGCACATTCAAATTGGATAGGTGTTGCATATGCACGTTCGGTGGAACCCTCCGATTTCGTTCAAAATCTCAGGAATGATGCTCCTTGACCTCCTGAACATGAAAATGGTACTCCCTTTGAACGCCGTCAAGAACTTTTCCAGATATACGCATCCATGCACATTCAAATTGCATAGGTGTTGCATATGCACGTTCGGCGGACCCCTCCGATTTCGTTCAAAATCTCAGGAATGATGCTCCTTGACCTCCTGAACATGAAAATGGCATTCCCTTTGAACGCCGTCAAGAACTTTTCCAGATATACGCATCCATGCACATTCAAATTGCATGGGTGTTGCATATGCACGTTCGGCGGACCCCTCCGATTCCGTTCAAAATCTCAGGAATGATGCTCCTTGACCTCCTGAACATGAAAATGGCACTCCTTTTGAACGCCGTCAAGAACTTTTCCAGATATACGCATCCATGCACATTCAAATTGCATAGGTGTTGCATATGCACGTTCGGCGGACCCCTCCGATTTCGTTCAAAATCTCAGGAATGATGCTCCTTGACCTCCTGAACATGAAAATAGTACTCCCTTTGAACGCCGTCAAGAACTTTTCGTGATATACGCATCCATGCACATTCAACTTGCATAGGTGTTGCATATGCACGTTCGGCGGACCCCTCCGATTTCGTTCAAAATTTCAAGAATGATGCTCCTTGACCTCCTGAACATGAAAATGGTACTCCCTTTGAACGCCGTCAAGAACTTTTCCAGATATGCGCATCAATGCACATTCAAATTGCATAGGTGTTGCATATGCACGTTCGGCGGACCCCTCCGATTTCGTTCAAAATTTCAGAAATGATGCTCCTTGACCTCCTGAACATGAAAATGGTACTCCCTTTGAACGCCGTTAAGAACTTTTCCAGATATCCGCATCCATGCACATTCAAATTGCATAGGTGTTGCATATGGACGTTCGGCGGACCCCTCCGATTTCGTTCAAAATTTCAGGAATGATGCTCCTTGACCTCCTGAACATAAAAATGGCACTCCCTTTGAACGCCGTCAAGAACTTTTCCAGATTTACGCATCCATGCACATTCAAATTGCATAGGTGATGCATATGCACGTTCGGCGGACCCCTCCGCTTTCGTTCAAAATCTCAGGAATGGTGCTCCTTGACTTCCTGAACATGAAAATAGTACTCCCTTTGAACGCCGTCAACAACTTTTCTAGGTATACGCATCCAAGCACATTCAAATTGCAATTTGAATGTGCATGAATGCGTATGTCTGGAAAAGTTCTTGACGGCGTTCAAAGGGAGTACCATTTTCATGTTCAGGAGGTCAAGGAGCATCATTCCTGAGATTTTGAACGAAATCGGGGGGGGGTCCACCGAACGTGCATATGCAACACCTATGCAATTTGAATGTGCATAGATGCGCATATATGGAAAAGTTCTTGACGGCGTTCAAAAGGAGTACCATTTTCATGTTCAGGAGGTCAAGGAGCATCATTACTGAGATTTTGAACGAAATCGGAGGGGTCCGCCGAGCGTGCATATGCAACACCTATGCAATTTGAATGTGCATGGATGCGCATATCTGGAAAAGTTCTTGACGGCGTTCAAAGGGAGTACCATTTTCATGTTCAGGAGATCAAGGAGCATCATTCCTGAGATTTTGAACGAAATCGGAGGGGTCCGCCGAACGTCCATATGCATCACCTATGCAATTTGAATGTGCATGGATGCGTATATCTGGAAAAGTTCTTGACGGCGTTCAAAGGGAGTACCATTTTCATGTTCAGGAGGTCAAAGAGCATCATTCCTGAGATTTTGAACGAAATCGGAGGGGTCCGCCTAACGTGCATATGCAACACCTATGCAATTTGAATGTGCATGGATGCGTATATCTGGAAAAGTTCTGGACGGCGTTCAAAGGGAGTGCCATTTTCATGTTCAGGAGGTCAAGGAGCATCATTCCTGAGATTTTGAACGAAATCGGAGGGGTCCGCCGAACGTCCATATGCAACACCTATGTAATTTGAATGTGCATGGATGCGTATATCTAGAAAAGTTCTTGACGGCGTTCAAAGGGAGTGCCATTTTCATGTTCAGGAGGTCAAGGAGCATCATTCCTGAGATTTTGAACGAAATCGGAGGGGTCCGCCGAACGTGCATATGCAACACCTATGCAATTTGAATGTGCATGGATGCGTATATCTGGAAAAGTTCTTGACGGCGTTCAAAGGGAGTACCATTTTCATGTTCAGGAGGTCAAGGAGCATCATTCCTGAGATTTTGAACGAAATTAGAGGGGTCCGCCGAACGTGCATATGCAACACCTATGCAATTTGAATGTGCATTGATGCGCATATCTCGAAAAGTTCTTGACGGCGTTCAAAGGGAGTACTATTTTCATGTTCAGGAGATCAAGGAGCATCATTCCTGAGATTTTGAACGAAATCGGAGGGGTCCGCCGAACGTGCATATGCATCACCTATGCAATTTGAATGTGCGTGGATGCGTATATCTGGAGAAGTTCTTGACGGCGTTCAAAGGGAGTACTATTTTCATGTTCAGGACGTCAAGGAGCATCATTCCTGAGA